GTAACATTATTATCCAACATTGAGGAATCCAAAGCGACCATCAAGAGGCTGGTGGTTGATCGTCCAATTCTTCATTAGGCATTTCTCGAACACATGTGTCTCAAGTAAATCTGAGTGATCTGTTTCATGGTTCATCATGGAACGGTCGCCGTGTGGGGGAATGTGAGTTGAGACATTGCCCACGAGACATGCTGGCACAGACAAGTCGAGACTGGATGGGCGTTTCCATACAATGAGGTGTAGCCATGGTATTCGAGAACAGGCATGTGAGGCTGTATTCTCAACATTGAGATCCTGTTTCCACCATTGAACTGTTTCCAGACATGAAGAGAGTGGTCTCCGAGTTTAGGCAGGCGACGGAGAGTATTTGACCACGACGCATCTCAAAGATCATTGCAGGATTGACATGTAGTCACATTTTTCCACATACCTTTGAAAATTCGGACAATCAGAACCAGCTGGGATAGCACTTCTGGCTGTGTAAAGGTTGGCGAAATGGAAAGCTCGTCGAGAACTTTGAAGAGGAGATCAGAGATATCGAAGCTGGTGTGGTCCGGCCAAAATCTCAGAAAGATTGCTTGGTGGAAAAGTATCTGTTCGAGTCGACGAATAAATCTGTTTGGTTTCCTGGGGAATGGATGGTGAAATCGGAGGTTGAATGCTGCAAAGAAGACGACTGAAACCGCACGCGGCCGCTAATGAGTGTGTTGTGTCGTGTGAATGACACGTTAAGGAACGAATGAAAGTGAATTGAAAAGAAAGGAAGACTAGAGAAATCTCTGTCGCATTGAGGCCGATAGAGAAGGAAGGAGAGACGATGCAGCCCACGGGGCGAGCGACGACGTATAAAAATGATCGACCTGACGGGGGTGTCAAAGGGTTGTGGCTCCAGCTGGGGAGTGTAGAAAAGAAGTGGGAATGAGTGGAAGTCGTCGTAATGAGTGACAAAGTACCAGACCGGGGTCGCAGAGGCAAAGTTGAAAGAAGGTCAAGGAGACGCAAAGCAGGCAGAAGATGAGGAGGACGAGGACGAGGACAGGGCACAGGCGAGGAGCGAGGGAAGCGTTGAGCAGCAGCTGCCTGCCCCACATCCAGGTACCGATGCACCCCTGCCCCTCACCCCCAGACCGCCACTAGAGGGAAGGGCGGCTGCCGCAACCGCCTAGGCGATGACTGGCTCCAGGGCACCGACAGCCACTGTTCTAGCGACTTCCCGCTGTGGCAAGCGCTAACCGGCAGGCGTTGGTAGCGATGCGCCAGGCCATGGGGGCCGCTCGCCCCACTAGGGGTGTGCCGATGCAAGGGTTGGGCATTTGGAAGCCCCGAGCTCATCTTCCTCAAACAACAGCAGCATACGGCATACGCACTCGGGTCCAATGCGGTTGCACAGCCAGATTCGCGTACGGAGCACACTCTCACTGATTGGTTTATCTTCTGGGTCCTGATATTTTTTTGTTGTTGTTTTTTCTCGCCGTCCCCGATGTACATATGTACCCACGATAGTCGGTGCATCGAGATACTCGACCTTGGCAAACGGTCTTGACGGTGATCGTACTTGCTTGTTGGGCATCATGGCGATCCCCCTCAACGGGCCTCCTTCTCCTCGGAGGGGGCGGAAAATACTTCATCTCGCAGATTACCTGCTGCGTCTTTGGTCAGCTAATCCAGATGCAAGGAGCATCTGCTCGTTGTCACGCCCGTCAATCCAGCTTACCGAACCCTTTCATCTTCGCTAACGCCAGCCAGTTCTCTCGCGGTGGGATCCTTGCACTGCAAGCAAATGTCGGGATCACACCCAAAGCCACCTACTCTCATCAACAGGATGTAAGGTCCAAGGAAGTGTGCAGATGCCGTCGTACCTTGCAGGACGAGGTGGCAGTGGGGTCTAAGCTCTGATCCTTGCCTATGCTGATCCAAGTCCAGGGGTTTTGGCCAACGGAATCCCTGCGTCTCCATTAAACAAGCTATCACCGCATTGATCCGTCATAGGTCTGCGTGCTTTTCTGAAACCGCCTCAATCTCAGTGCCTGAAACCCCGGTCGGCCACAGCTAAGACTAACAAGCAATGCAATGCCAAGTATTGAAAGCAATGACATAACGCTCTGCCCGATCTTTCGGAGCATCATGCTCTTGAGAGCAGCTGTTGTTTTTATTCCATTCCTCAACATTGCGCAACATTTTTCGCACTCAAGGTAAATTCTCAGCCAAAAATGACAACCTGGCAGGATGCAAAAATATGATTATGGGGTCATGGCGGCGGTTTGGTTGTACTCATGCTGCATGCATCGACTGTTCAATGCCAGCACAGGGCCCCCGACGCCAGTGATTTCCATGGTGCCACTCTCCGTCGGGCCAATTTCTTGTTTCCTCTCCTTTTTGCTTCCTCGCTTCCGATAAAGTCGGCGGGGCATGATGACGTCCACGGACAAATCATGCACTCTGAGACAGAGGGGAGAAGACAGAGCAGCCACACTGATGCATCCAACGACGGAGCACTGCATTCCCAAGATGCACCTTAACCGCCTGTACATCTTTACAAAACAACAAGTTAATATCGTGGCATCCGAGTTCCGATAAGTGGTGGGATTCGCCCCTCACTCCTCGTTCTTTGACAAGTAGCGGCCGAGGAGACAATATAGTACTATCCTCCTGCCAATTTGCTTCAAGTTCCCCATTCTTGCATCCGCCATGCCATCCTTAGAAAACCCCAAGTGGCAATTTCGGCCGTCAACCTAAATTACTCATAAGCCGCCCCAGGGCAAAGCTTGTTCGCTTCCTCCCAGCTGGCCGCGGAGGAACCCAAGCCGCACCCAAGCATCAATCTGAGATGGGCGAGCAATTTCGGTTCCTTTTTTGCTTTTGACTACGGAAGCGCACAGTGTGAACGCATCGCCAGGAATTTTCCCCCTTGGGCCAGCGTTCGCTAAGTGCACAGACACGACCGGGGGTTGTTACAGACAAAGGGATAGATTCTATTTCTGAGTCCTCCCATGGGTAGGCACCAACAGTCAAAAACTGAGCCAACATTCTTAGCTGAATGGCAACATTTCTATCAAGAACGAACGCAATGATACGATAATAGGTCTTTTTCTACCTATCCAGCCGACTCAACGTCCGTTGTTTGGTCATGTCTCACCATCACAGCTGAGCACCATGAAGCCCCACCCCCTCAATACCCCGAAACACTGGTACTTAGATACGCCAATTTTAGGAGTTGGAGTGGCTCCCTCGTTTAGCTTTCTCATTCGCACACACCCCCCAGCTCCTCCATCCTCCCCGGAGGAATAAGCTGCTAACAATGGATCATTTAGTAACATCATGGAACTTGCCGGTTCCAGTAACACAAGCTGAGGACAGTCCTCAAAAACAAGTACTGTATTGTGCTATTTTCCAGTGACTGTTACTCACAACTAGATGTGCTAAAGATGCCTTCATCAGAATGAGTACACCCCTTTTCCCACAGCTGACGGGCCGCGTCCGCATCAGGCTTTATACGCTGACAGGATAACGTCCTGCATAGTTAAGGGTTGACTGTCATTTCCACGGACTTGCAAACGGAGATAACATCATTCCCCAAGTCATGGTTCTAGAAGCCATTCCTTTTCGCCCAGGGAACCCTGTGGAATCCGGCATATCCTCCCTGCCATGCTCCTTGATCCCGTGGTGACCGAGTGGCATATTTGATTTGTGGGATGATTTTTGTTGTTGAACAGGTAAATCACAACCAACACATGCCACAAAACACGGCTGCAGGTCCAGTCAAGCCTGGACAGATAGATTTACGCGCTGCACATTTGATATCCACAACTAAAAAATACTCGGCCGTTCTGCCTTCTAGGTTGTTGCAGGATTGGCTTATTTGCACTTTGGCTTGGAGTACAATACTTGCTCAAATTTACAAATGGCCAGGCTTCAGAAACCTTTGGTCAGTCACGTTCTAACCACACGTGCGCATTAAAGGTTACCCATACGAACACCTTCGGATATTCGTCATGTCTGTGACACACGCATCGTCCTCGTGTCTGTCGTGAACCAAGACGCAAGTCTCACGTTTCCACGAATGGCGATGCATCTACATTCCGGGTTTTCGTGTTTTCGTGTGCGGGTGCGGAAAAGTACCTTTGTCAGTTTGACTGGACTCGAATGCTCGGTCCGATCCATCAGTTGCACCAAGTGGCCCAGTAGCACAAGGCGACGGGCTTGCCAATCATAGATATGATTTAATATGGCACCGCTGCTCATCTATTGACAACCAATCACCGGCCCCTCGGGGTTAACTTTTGCTTTTGAAGTGAACTGCTCACTCGTAAATGAGAGAATGACTCAAAGTATCAACCGACAAACCATACGATAAGTTGAAGGTGGTACCCAGACATAAGGGCAGCATAAAACCTCCACCAACGTAATCTTTAGTTACGATACCAGCTGGTTTAGACACAACCGCGTAGCAAATGACTTATTTTCTTGATATCGAGGTTTTCCTTGTCGCCTAACCATAAGTCAATAGCGGCTGTCCACGGCCTTTCGATAGGTATTTTAGGTTCTAGGTCGACGGCTTACGAGAGCAACCGTTACCAATCGCACGGTGAACTTTAGAAATATTGATATTTCGCTTTGAACTGACTCGAGACACCTCCGGTAAAAAAAAACATAAACTCGAGGGCTTTCACTCTATTTGCGCAGAACAATATAGGATCACTTGGAGTTATCTACGGCTTCCACTTACTTGATTTTGAAGGAACCCTAGAATTAAGCTGCCGAATGCAACGGTCTGGATCCAAAATTCCTAACAATTTGTCACATTTAGCCCAAAAGCAGGTACCGTCGTAGCAACATATGGAGCTCAAACCCGCACCAAGTATCACAAAAGCCGTGTGAAGACGTATTCATGGTAGTGGTAAAAAAAAATAGTGGTCAATCCTCTAATTTATCAACACAATGTACACAAGGTAGGACCGCCCTCATCGATCTTTGATTTTCGTTTCCCAAACCGCACCCGTTTATTGCTTCGCCTCCTGCCCAGGAACAAAGGGCTTGCCCTCGATGGAGCGGAACTTGCGGTCGGCAAAGATCTGCTGCGGTCGGAGCTCGACGGGGGTGACGTTCCCAGGCTGGTCGGGGATCTTCTTCTCGAGTTTCTAGATTGAAGGGGAACGGTGTAAGCTTTAAGATCTTCAAGGATATATGCATAGGTGTGCGTCGGGTAACGACTAACCAAGTTGTCAAAGACACACTTGTTGAGCCGCCACTCGAAGGGGCGGCATTGCCACAGCTGGTGGTTGTGGTTGTCGAGGCACTTCCAGTGGTTGGTGAACTGCTCAAGGCAGTGCTTGTTGACGTCCTCGATACTGTATTTCCAGCCTTGTCAGCCTGTCCGGTCGCATAATCTGAGCTTTTCAGAGCTTCATGTATCTCGATGAAACTGTTGGTGGATTTCAACGTACACGCTAGAAGCGCAACGAGTGACACGGCGGCCCTCCTTCAAGCACTCGAACTCGCCGCGGCCGGGGTTCTCGTTCTTGCACTGCATGTAGTCATCGTTGTAGTCGCGGCAGCGAGCGCCGATGAAGTAAGAAGCGGATAGTAGTGGTGCAGAACTGGCGCCGACCTCCTGGACCTTGGGGATGTCATCGGGGAGGGGTGTGGTGTCGATGAGGACGGTCTGGTTGAACCTATGAGGGAACTATTAGTCGCATCCTCCTTGGCTGGGCAGCCATTGTGCCGCATCTTCGATACAGCGGTGATTGATGGCACCCATTTGAGAGGTCAGACATACTGGGGCCTTCGGGTAGACATTTTGGCGGTTCGTGAGCTGCCAATCCGCGAGATTAAGTTGATCTAATGGTGGTTAGGAATCCCGGGCTTTGGATTTGACGTGAGGTTGGAATTGGTGTGCCGTGATTGGCTGGCTAACCAGACCTACGTCCAAGGAATGGCACTATCTACGGTTAGTAATCAGCCGAGATAATGCCGGTGCGTCCCATGAGAGCCTCTTGGTAGCTCGAGGTTAAGCAGCTTTCCATATGATTTCTCGGGTCATCTGGTAGGTATTTCTCAAGCACAAGGTATACATTGGGCGATTGACGGGTGCTATAAATATGGTGTTAGAAATACCAATATCTTAGTTTCAGATTCCAGTCATAATCTTCCAATCGACAAACCCTCTTTGTAAACGTAGAGGATTGGACAAGCCAGGTAGGTATTATGAGCATCCCTCAGATACATATCACAATCAAAGCAAAAAATAAGTCACCCAGCGATCTTATCGACTGCTCACGCAAAATTTAGAAATACGTTTAAACTATCAGCGTAATTATTTTGCTTCGAATGATCACTTAGAACGAACTTAAGTGAGAGGTAAAAGAAGTAGAAATGTTACAGGGTAGGCCGACCACCTGGTTATAGGTTAGGCTTAGTGGCAGCACGGACGCGCTTCGCCAGGGAAATCTGGACAGGCCGTGTTGTGCCTGGGAGAAAATATACAAAAAGTAGCATCCATTGTTCCAAAAACGACAAAGCTTTGCGATTCAACCCAAGGGCGATTTTTTTGTTGCGAAAATCTACTCTGATCACTAAAATACATTCAATAGCCGTTCAAATCATCAGGGTTACTCTACTCGAAGGCAGATGAACGGAGCACCTCGACGCTGAGCGCATCCGTTTATCGAGCTGTTCCAGTCAAGCTCCAGGATCATCGAAGCATCACGACAACAACAACAAAAGCTGCCACGATGTCTCTTTTCGGCCAAGCAGCCGCAACAACCCAGGCGAAGCCCACCTTGAGCTTGTTTGGCCAGCCGCAAACAGCACAAACGACGCAGCCTGCCCAACCAAACAGGAGTATTTTCGGTCAGACCCTGGGTGCACCTCAACAGCAGCAACCGCAGCAGCAGCAACAACAGACGAATGCGCTCGGGAGCTCCTTGCTAGTGCCCCAGCAGCAGCAGCAGCAGCAAGCGCAGCAGATGCCAGCCTTATCCCAGTCCCAGGCCCAGCTATCGAGCTCGTTATGGCAGCCCGGAAAGGAAACACCCCGTAAGAGACCATCCACAGACCAAGGTGACCAATGGCAGGAGCACAGATGCTAATAGATGAGAACACGCAGACCAGAAGCCGATACTCGAGCAGATGAAGCTGGTAACAGAAAAATGGGACCCAGCGAACCCGAATTGCGTCTTCAAGCACTACTTCTACAACAAGGTGGACGAAGCCCACATCCCTTTCTACAAGCCACAGCCCTTCGAAGACCCACGCGAGTGGGAGGAAGCTCTCCAGAACAAGCCTGCCCCGGGCTTCATGCCCGTTTTGTGCTCCGGCTACAAGGGACTCGCGGACCGCCTGCAGACACAGAAGCGTGCCATATCCGAATTCAACACGCGACTACACCAGGTCAACGGCAGTCTGGATGCTATCCTCCAGCGTCACGAGCTAGAGACAGAGGTACGCGCCTTGGCGGCCCGGAGACGACAGACGGCGATAAGCGAGCGGTGTATGGCACTTGCTGCCCGCGTCCAGGTCTTGCGCAACAGAGGATATTCGTTGAGTGGCGACGAGGATGACCTCAGCGCGAGGCTCCAAGGACTCGAGAGGGACATCATGGACCCTGCGGTGGGGGCCAGGGAGGAAGAGCTTTGGAGTCGACTGATCGTGCTGAGAGACTACGCCGACCAGCTGAATAAGGAGAAAGAGAAGTCTTCTAATGGAGAGGATGGAGGTCTGGATGAAGACAGTGAGGCGAAGGCAAAGAGGGTAAGTTGAGAATAAGAGTTTGGACTATTCATGTTGTATTTTGCTAACCAAGCTTCCCTACAGATTTTGGAGGATTACGAGAAGCAGCTACAGCACCTGAAGAAGGAGTTGGAGGCACTTAGTGGTGACTACGGGGAGTGGGAAAGGAGCAGGACTGCCTTGAGGTAACTCGGCAACCCATGGCTTGGGTGTTAGAATATTGGGTATTGGCGAATGGTTGGTTTATTGCGGCGTCGAGTTAGTCGAGCAACACATGGAGTTTGTCAAAGGGTTCCTAGGCAAGGATAGTTCAACTGGTATGGGCTGTTATTAATAATGGGACTAGAACCTCATCACTGCCTCCATCCACAGTCAATCGTTACCAGATATCGGAGTTATTATCCTGATTTGACATGATGTTCCCCCCCTTTGCTGAATCTGCTCGAGCAACTAAGAGATAGGAGCCTTATGTTCCCAAACCCAGCTGGTTCACCCGGGACTTGGTGTTGTGAGGCATGGTCATGAAGTAAGGATACGATGACTCTAATTAGACGAGTCTAAAATTAACAACGCCCTTTTGGTGTGTGAGCTAATAGAGGGGAGGATATTTAAAGGGTATCGTATCAGCTGGGGTCTGATTGACGGCATAGTCATTTGAAGCCATTATGATCCCTTGATAGGTAAACACATCTCATGCTTGGAGACTGAATGTATATTGTACAATTGTTGACTTCTATTGAGTTTGTTCCCAGTGTCCTATCCTGGACACGCTCCTGATACTATCGTACAAGGGCGGGCCTGTCTTTCCGGCCCAGATTTGCTTCATAAGGTCCGTTCATATGTTACTGTATAATCCCCGAGCCTAAGGTCGTCGTACATGTATTGCTTGCTTCTTTCTGATGCTGTCCGCGTATCCGCTTGAGGTAAAAAAATAATTTAGAAAATCTTGCCAACCATGTCAATGGCGAAGGGAGCTGCAAGACGTTGTCCTTGTTAGTTTCGCTTATCGCATGGGCGTTGTCTTCGTCGTAGGTCCGGGGTGAACGTACACAGGTAGAGGAGGAAGGCTGTGGCGACGACTTGCTGAACGGTGAAGGCGGCCTCGGCCTCCATGGCGCGGATCTCCTCCTGGGATTGTTGAGGGGGGGCGACTGCCGACTCGTAGTCAGTTTATCTGGTATTTCTAACGCGCTCGTGCCTGGTAATCCTGGAGTTTGGACTCACATCCTCCGAACATTTTGACGAATGGTTTGGTTGGCTGGAAATGGGAATCTGAATCGGGTAGCGACTGGGATGGCGTCTAATGCGATGCGCTCGGTACTGTTGGTGATTGAACGAAGTTGGTATTCGAGGGGAATTACGTCGTCGGAGCTGTCTTCAATGCTCCATGAAAAACTCACTCTTGGTGCATATGGCTAAAAAAGCGTCGATGCCCGATAAGCGCCGATAAGCGCCGATAAGGACTCGAGGGCTCGCTGCGTCACTCGGAGCGGCATGTCAGGGAGCATGGATCGATGATTCGCTTTCCCCTTGCTTCCAAACAAAAATCTCCGAGATGGGCAAAATCCGATTGCCATATGATTCCGGTTCAAGATGTCTTCCCCACAGATCTCTTGATGCCATCGTGCATTTATGGCACCAGGCACTTAGATATATCACATATGGAGACTAGGCACTGAGGAGGTTGAGTTGGTATGTTTTTGGGGTTTCTTGTACGAACCCTTGCTCTTTATATATTTCACTAGAGGTATTGTAAAGTCATGCAATCATGCTCATCAGACCTTCCTTTTCACTTTGCTTTTTCACTTTTATATTTTCTCCATCGTCTTTCATGCCTCGAAAACTAGTGCTACTGCATCATCGCCTGCAGTAACTATTCTCTCACCTGTCTCGCCCTGCACGAAGCCCAGAACACCGCCGCCCTCGCCATCTCCTCGGTGGCCCTTCCATACCTTCACCAAGCCGGAGTTTGAAGCATCTGCAGCGCCGGAGCCCGCAGCACCACCGCGGAGATCCCACCGCCGTACCACACCGTCCATACCGCAGCTGGTCAGTACCCACGAGTCCTTGATGAACTCGACCTTGACAACAGAGTGCTCCTCGTGAGCGCCGATGATGTGTCTTCGCACGGCGAAGCGGCGGGTCGCGTCAAACACGCAGACGGACCCGTCGACGGACCCAGCAGCAAGGAGTGTCGTTGCTGGAGTGGTAGATGCGAGGGACACAGCCAGGGTCTCGACGCTGTCGGACTGTGTGTGGAGGGAGGCGAGGATCTGTCCTCCGCTTGTAGACTCGGCGGCACCCTTGCTGCCTTTGCCACGGCTTTGCGACGGGGCCTTGCCGGAGAGACGGGGTAGGGAGACGACCTTGATGGCACCGCCTGCGCCGCCGGCTGCGACGAATGCGCCCTTGGGGTCGACGGCGAGGGAGTAGAGACCGCCCTCAACCTCGAATCGCTGGTCATCAGCAGTGAGCGAAACGCAGGCCATGCCGTTGTCCGGACCCCACACATCCCAGACGTACAGACTGCTATCCTCGGAGACAGTGACTAGAAGCTTGCCGTCGGGGGTCCATGCGCCGGCTGTGCAGGGCATGGAGTGGAGGAAGTAGGACTTGACGATCTGGAGAGCGTTGGATGGGTCGGAGGGGTCGACGGTGTAGACCCAAACGGAGCCGTCTGAAGAGCCGAGGGCGATTGTGTTGGGGTTGGTAGTGCTCGGGCAAGGCACCACCCAGTTGACCTCGGGAACCTCCTGCGCCTCGCCTAGGAGCGATACCTCGAGGGCCTGGCCAGGGTTCACCACTGTCTTCCATGCTCGTATTCTACCGTCGAGACCGCCGCTGATGAGGACTTCACCCTGGGGCAGCGTCCACGTTAGAGCGTTGATAGAGTCGGAATGGCCCTCGATCGCGAACAGGCTCTCGAGCTGTGTGGTCTGGCGGTTGGCGGCGGCTTCGGGGTCGCTGGCGAAGCTTGCGGGAAGAACAGGTCTGGACTGCGCAGCGGAAGTGTCGAAGATCCAGCCGGCGCCGGGAGCGTCCTCATCAGCACCCTCAGCACCGCCTACCGCAATGAGGGAGGGGTGGACAGGGTGTTGGGCGATGGAGAAGAGAGAGTCCTTGGGGACGTCGAAGTAGCCGATCGAATCGTTCTGGAGAAGGATTTCCTCCTGCTCGTCGTCTGAGTCCATGGGGATGTCGTCACCCTGCTCAATCTCCTCTGCGGCATCGTCTACGGCGAGCATCTCGTCGAGCTCCTCCTCGCGGTCGCGGGGTTGATTTTGGTCGGCCATTGTGATAGTCCTTGCGATCTGGATTGGTAATAGTAGAAGAGGATAAAAAAGAAGGCGTATCTGACGCCTTTATGTATCTACCCTTGGGCTCCAGAACCAGGGCGATGGCAACTTTTCTTCAGGCAGTGGATGATTGAAGAAGCTGCGCTTGGTTTGCTTGATAAGCAGATACGGCCAAATTTTTGCTTAGAAAATCGCAGCCAAATTTTCTTTTGGCTGCGGGGTGATAAGAAATGCGTCACAATTGCCCCGCCACTTATCAAGGCGCAACCACAGCGGCGGGCCTGGATGAGCATGTGCAGTTGGACTAGCCTTGCTCTATCGTGTTACTCGGACTCGCTGAGTGGGTGAATTTGACGTTGGACTCTTTCATGAAAGTTTGTTTACTTGATTGAATGAATGAATGAATAGGTGCCTTAAGCCTGTGCCAATTTGCTATTATCCAATTAATGCCGGTCCCGTTTCGTGAAGAGGATGCCAATTATCTCTTTCGCCAAAGTTCCAGATGCCCTGTGTGACAGTATTAATGAATTACCTATGCTCCGTCAAGTACTTCCACCCAGTTGCACTCCGCTTTCTTCCTCCTCCACCGCTCCCCGGCGGCATCTCGAACAATCTTTTCTTCTTCACTGACTTCTGCGGCCTGGCTTGCCATCTCGCGTATCTGATGCTTAATACCAAGCACAAGCATCTTCTGCCAGCCGCCGTGGACCTTGCACCTCTTGCGCTCGCAGATCCCCTCAGCCTCTCCGAGCTCCGAGGCCTTGAAGATGGCCTCGCCCTCAGAACTCTTCACAAAGGCCGCAAATGCGTCCCGTGCAGATATTGTGTCTAGTCGTGGGTCGTAGCCGCACATATCGTCACCAAAGGGACCGGCATTAATCACCTTTCTGCGACGCTCTTGTGCCAACTCAATCAGTGTTAGCATCTTGTGGCATAAGAGAGTATCCTCAGCTAGGTGGAAACGAGTATTTGCTGCCTCTTCTAGAATGGATTTTTCTTCTTGAGTCAGAATTTCTGATAAATCCTCCTCCGGGGCTATAGAACATTGAGTTAGCCAAAACTGGGACGCATGATATGGTGAAGTTGGTCAAAGACTCACCGCTACCCTTTGCATCCTGTATCTTGGTCGTTTCCTTCTGAAATGGCATTTTAACTAGCGTGAGAAGCCCATTTTCATCAACGCCCGATAGATCGCTAGTGAGGAGTGCCATAAACTCGTCTTGCGATAAATGGTCGTTTAGGCCGTTCTTTGCCTTTCCCTTGGGAAGTCTTGATACTAAGCGCTCCCACCACACCTGTGCATGCTCGTTTGAGCAGAAGACGCTTCTTTCGTCTTGCCAGAGCCGTGCTGCTTTGCGACATGTCCCCAGCGCACAGGTTTTCTTGTAAATTGTGGACAGGCCTTCCTTGGTGCAGTTGGGGCAGACGAATCTCTCAATGAGCGACTCCCCGATTTCCTTGCTGAGTTTGATACACTCCCCGTGGAACCAGTCCTCGCACTTCTCACAGCAGATCATCCACCTGTGGTCGTCAGGACCCCGGCAAACACAATATGGCCCGTGGTCAGACTCATCATCATCATCTTCTTCCCCGTCATCATTGTCCTCAGCTGCAGAGCTGGCTCCTGGGACTGGGGTTGGCTTGGCCTTCTTGGCTCCCTTCTTGGGTCCGCTCTTCCTTGGTCGTTTGGGCGCCTTCTTAGCGGTTCCCTTCTTTTTAACACCACCCGAGAGGGTCCCCATCGTGGCAGTAGAATCGCCAGTCTCTGTTGACGGAAGTGGTTGCTGTGATGCTGACCTGCTGTCCGTGGAAGGGGCTGGCTGAGGTAAAGGTGAGCTGGCGGGCATAGGAGTCCCGGATTTGGACTGGAGCTCTGGGAGTTTTGCCTCCGGTTCATCGCCCGGTAGCGGCGAGGGGTTTGGCGTCTCCATTGTGCCGGGTTGTAGTTGAACAAACGGATTGGCTGGCCGGTTCTCACCCCTTGACCCAAGTCGCGACTTGCCGGACAATGGTGGCCAACGAAATATGAATACAGGACTCGAGCTCAGGCTCGGTACAACGTAATAAGACCCCTGACAAATACGATATAAAGATATGATCGCCCTGCGTGCAGACACCCGCTGAAACCCAGCCTGTTCCAGGTATTCGTCGGTCTCTCACCTTCACCCTTTTGATGATACTATTTCTCAGTTCTGTCCAGGAACCAATCTCATTACCCCGGCAGGTACTTACACGTCGCGCCTTCTGGATGTCTTTAATTTTTCGATGGGGCGAATTGCCATATCGGGATTGGCCCACTTGTGTCACGTGGGGCATCGCTCAGCTCTCCGATCAGTAGAAATCGCGAAACTGATTGCAATTCAGAATCTGGAAGAAATATTGACTAATGGCATTTCAGTTGATGTCTTCAATTTTGATCCGATGACCCTACGCTGCGTGGCTGGACGATGCTGCGCTGAAGAGTGACGGTCTGGTCCAGTGACCTGTTCAGCTCACTGGTTCAGCTCACTGGAGCTGCCGTATGTAGGTAGCCTTCGCGCTCCTGAATTTGCCCATACTTTTACTCTGCCTGTTGGTGCCCATTGATCATTCTACATGTGAGTTCATGGGTCGTTCGGGGATGGAAAGCTGAGTTGATAGCACGAGGTCCCCACCTGCGATTCGCCTCGGATTCTTCGGTTTATCTAGCCTGGTGACTCATGAGCCTTTTAGCAATGAATTTTCCAAATAGTCTATCCCAAAACCAAATTTGCCTGCTTTGACCAGTGCTGCGATGACGAGAGTAAAAGTTCTCTTAACTGGGGCGACGGGATACATGTAACTTCCCCCTTCCTCCTGGGTATTCTCCTGCTCTAGGCAACTCACATCTGTCAGAGGCGGCACCGTCTTGTCCACATTGCTCGCATCTCAGTCTCACCGCATCCGGGACATCTCGATCACGGTTCTGGTACGTAGACAGGAGCAGGCCGACAAACTCGTTTCAAGCCGTGTCACTCCTTTGATATTCAGTGGCCTAGATGACCTGGAGCTTTTGGAACGCGCTGCAAGCGAGCATGATGTGGTCATTCACACTGCCTCCGGGTTTCACACAGCCTCCGCAGAAGCGTTAATCGCTGGATTACGAAAGAGGAACACGTATTCTTATTATGTCCATGTTCGTTCTCCATCTCAGACCTAGCTACTACTAGTGAAACCCGGACCTCCGCGTTCTTTGCCTTTGGGGTGGTACTAATTGAATCAACGTAGACCTCTGGCACATGGAACCTGGCCGAGGCATCTCTCGCTGATCTCGATGCGCAGCTGTTGGAACTTACAGATAATGATGATATCCTAAAGCTCGAGAAAGAACTCCAGGCTGAAAGGCCTTTCTCACAGCGTGCGACTGACCTCAGAGTTATGTCGGCCGTCGCTGATTCACAGGTGAAGGCATATATTATCATGCCCCCGGATGTTTATGGCTATGGCACCGGGCTGTTCGCAAAGACTACGCCGCAGATCGAGGGCATGGCCAGAGATGCCCTGAAGCACGGCCAAGCGGCTTACATCAGAAACGAAGATGGTATCGTGGGATATGTTCACGTTGCTGACCTTGCTGCGCTGTACGTGGTTCTTCTCGAGAAGCTATTTAATGATCATGCAGCAGCCTCTGTGAGTGAAGGGATCTACTTTTGCAGCACAGGTACACATAGATGGCAAGAAACCGCGGCAAGGATTGGCGAACTCGGATTTAGAGACTCTCACTTGGTTTCTGCTATACCTAAAGCAATGAGGATCCACGAGGCTGCCGAACGATGGTCTGGAGGAGATGTCAGAGACCTAAGGATGGGATATTGTTCTAGGTTAGCGAGAGATTCAATTGCCGTTGATTTCTTTTTGATAGGCTGACGATTGGTACTAGATTCAGCACAAAACCGGACAAGGCAATGGACCTTGGTTGGCGGCCACAGAAAGACCAACGGGACTGGCTGGCCTGGATTGATACGTCGTTTCAGGCAGCACTTAAAAGTCAGGAGAAGGATAAATGAAGGATTGAAGAACAAACAACTTCTGCATGATATCCGCTCTCAGCTCGCGCAAGGTGCTGTTTAGGCTCTGTTGAACCATCCTAAAATGGAGGGCGACTAAAGAAATCTGACAGAAACTCGGACGAGATCATAAGATATCTGTGCATTGGAAGTCTCACAATCCGGAGTATTTTCCCCTCTTGATCAGCAGTTGTGATTTATTACTTTTCTTTCTGCATATTAGAACCCTTTCCAACCGTCTCAGTATCTGGTCATGCCACGATGGATCATACGTTCGGGGCTCGAGCCTCTGAGATTTCGATTCAAGATCGGAAGCTAGCCACGTCTGCCTTTCCGTTTACATAATATGTTGTTGGTTGGGAATCGGACGTTACGTCACTCATGAGACACGAACACGGCACAACCAGCTAGTACGTAGCACTAGAAGCGAAATCAAGACTAACTCCGCTTGTTGATTGGATATTGGGAAGAGAACCGGTCCGGTTAGCAACTCGAAGGTAGAGCTGGACGCGCAGCTTCTTCGAACAAGACAGGGCGATTTTGGCAGAGCCGCAGCTGTGTGAAAGTACCTTCGAGCTACAACTACAAGCTTCTCTTGAGATCGGCTACCGTGTGAATGGCGATGGGAACAAATTGTCCCATGCAACAGTGTCTTTTACTTGGTCGTCTTGCCTCAAAAAAGAAACGGAGTACCCGGATAGTTGATCTTCGGACGTTAGCCCAAGTGGCTGCTAGCTATTACCCAGATGCTGTCTCTGGCCCACTGTCGGTACAGCCGGCCGATATGTGCTAGATCTGTTAGATCGGTAAACGGACCAGTCACTGCCTTTGAACAAAGATCCTGCAAAGACCCTTGAGTACCAATCAAGCTCGTGCTGGCGTCGGCACTTGGACAGCTGTATCCACTCCCCCAACATCCATCTCTCGCTTCCGGAAACTCAACGTCTGGCTGCTCTCCGTCAGTCCGTTAGATTCCTAACGCAGGGACCGCCGCTTCTACTCCAAGTCCTGTGGTGAAATAGCTCGAGTGCCGTGATGGTGTTTGATCTAGGCAAGTAGGACGAGACATATGGTCTCACTCGATGACGCTGCCTAACCGCAGGCTTGCCCTGCACTGCACTCCTTCGGCACCCCGAATAAGTTTCGCTTCATATGACTGCTGATATTTCTTTTTCCACAGATCACGCTATGATGCCACCTGCCTGCCTGCTCTTCCACACACCCTCCTTCCATGGCTGCTCCCTATCTTCCTCGCGTCGTCATCCCGCTATGTGTGGCGGCAAACTAAGAGACGACTGTCGCTTGGGCACTATGTAGTTGTTTTAGCCAAAAAGCATTACACTACTATTGAATCCTTAAGAACCTCACACCCCCCATTTTGCCGACCTAGCCATGTGGCAATCTTGTAATTCTCACGTTTCTCGCCGCATATTTAGTGCCTCTTCTCCGTTCCGATCTTACCACCTACCTCCGTGACTGCGCACTGCACCTAAACAACCTCCTGCATTAGTCTTGACTATAACTATTTATTTCTTCCATTCCGTACCTACACTGGAGTGACTGGGAGATAGAGAGCGTTGAAGTTGCTCTTCACAAGTCGCCCATCAAACAGCCCTTGGCTTCCCGCTTCTGCCCTCTACTCCAGCGTCGGCCATTGTTCACTGGCATATATATTGTTCGATGAACGTATTTGACTTGGCGTTCTGACGCCAGCCTCCGGCCACGCCGGTCCGCCCATTGATCGATCTTGTTGAATAATCCGACCGTCACGATGCCGGGGACCTTGATACCGCCCTGGTTTGTCGACAATGCGCCAACTCCAGATGAGTTCGCCACTGCCAGCGTGATATGGGGCATCTCCCTGGGCCTCACTATCTTCGCTATCATCCGAGCAACGAACCAGACCTATCATCAATGGATTCGAAAACACAACGTCACCGCATACATGGTCTTTATCTGGCTCGAGCTCGTATCGAGCGCTATCATCGGAGGAACAGCTTGGGGATACATGCGAGGAGATATACCACCTAGGTTTGTTTGACTCTGCCATTAGCAGCCCTCATTTCGTTTGTAGTAGTAAGACTAACTGAACCTCCTGGCGCAGCTTTTGGTATTATTCAGGGACCAGTAAGTGCTCCTCTGGCATCAGCCAACCAACCCTGTTGTGTGAGCTCATTGAGATCAGCCCGCCACTAACATTTGTCCAGTTTTTCTCTGGTTCTTCCAGACCCATTGCATCCTACAAATAATCATTAATCGTATCGGTCTAATCGCTCTCAACAAAGTCTTCATCCACCGCCTCAAGTGGGCTGTGTTTATCATCGTCCTTATGATCAACATAGCTGTGGCTTGTATCTGGATCCCCAGTCGTCTCCAGATATCTAAAACATACATCACCATCAACAATTACTGGGACAGGGCCGAAAAAGCGGTCCTCGCCGTTATTGATCTTTGTTTGAACGTTTACTTTGTCTATCTTGTCCGTTCCAGCCTCATCTCGTACGGACTTACCAAATACGTGCGGCTCTATCGCTTCAACCTCTTCATGATCGCGATTTCGTTATCTATGGATGTACGTTCTTCCGGCTTTTATATGCATCTGCCCATCTCATCACAACTAAAAACTCTCTTTAGGTACTCATCATTGCGATGATGTCTCTCGCCAATACTTTCCTGTCAGAAAAGTCCTTGTACCCGCCAGTAACCATCTCTCAACTAACATAATTTCAGATATGTTAGCTTTCACCCACTCGCATATTTAGTCAAGCTTCACATTGAGCTCTCAATGGCTGAACTGATTGGCAAGATTGTCAAAGCATCTAGCCGAAGAGGAGCTTGCATGTGCAACCACCACGGGAACGACGCATTTCGAATTGAAGAAATTTGTGCAGTCTCAATGACCGAGGATGTTGCCAACCAAAGGGCCATGATGGCGCCAACAACCGGCCGCCTTAGGCAGTGGATTACATGGCGACCCTCTCGCTCTAGGCATCAAAATGAAACGCTCGCGAACGGCTTGGGTCATTCAATGAATTCAGGAGCGGCTCGGGATCAGGATAAGGGAGCAAGAAAAGGGTCGACTCCATCAACACTGACCTCGCCAGAGTCAAGCAGAACTATGGATGGGGTGGGCGATGTAGAAATGGGTAAAACGGCAGGAATTTTGGAAGATAAATGAGTTTCTTGCGCAGCGTTTCATAGACTTGCTAATGGTACGCGGTAACGCGGTTATTTCTAATAGCGATTCCCTCCAAACATTTTTGTTCGTCGAGGGTGGTCATCTCTACGGCTTTCCGCAAATGACCACACACGGTCGTTTTCACTCAAATTTTCCCGCCCACAGCCGCCTTGGCGGTGGGTGCTGTATATCTATTATATGGTTTGAGAAAGACCATAGGCGATTACTTAGTATCGAGCATTGACGACGTTAGTACCGCTAGAGACCCGGTATAGTGCCTTCATCTACGAAGTAGGGCAAAGCCGACAGCCCCCAGGGTCGACAGAATTAAACACCATCGTTTCAGACCTCTCATAATCTGCTGCTTTGAGAATTCCTCTATGGCTTTCGAATCATTGATCCTCGGGAACTCGATGCCTTCGGGGATAGGAAGCTCCAATGCCCGACACAGGGGCTCCCACCCGTCCTTGACATCGAGCATCACCAGCCGATCCGCAGGCACATTATCCTTCAGCCAATTGTAATGGCGTTGGTATATCTGAGCTGTCGCCGGCTCCGCCTCTCCATAGATGTTGATCCACTGCTCGCGGAGGCCCTCGATGTAGTCGTTGAAGTGGCGCATCGACGGGACCGGGAGGAGCACGATGCGCAGGAACCACTTCGTCGACGCGCTCGCCACGACCGCCATGCTCTTCACCCAGCTGTCCACGTCCCGGGTGGTGCACACCACCTTCGCGTCTGGGTAGAGGGTCATCAGCTCAGCCACCATGCTGCACCCCGGCGAGTCGGTGATGGCGGAGAAGCCGTCAGTCCTTTGCCTGATGAGCTCGAGATTCTGGCGGTGCTCGGCCTCCGATTTGGGAGGATAGCAGGACAAGACCTTGATCCAGGACTTGATCTCGACCTCGGGACCGAGGGTCACCTGGGTGCCGCCGTGATAGACGGGACCATCGAGCAGGATTTCCAGGGCGCGGCCGAATGATGTAGTGCCGGTGCGAGGGAGGCCGGCTCCGATCACCTGGAGTTTCTTGCCCGGTTGGGGGTGGGAGTATTGCTGGCCCATGGTTTGGTGTTGATGGGCGGTTGGTTAGGTAGTTGTGTGCCAGTTGAAGTTATGAAGGGTTGGGATAGACACTGGGGGATTAGACCACGAGTACATACTTGACAAAAAGGTGGAACACATATGAATTTCTAAATTGGGCAATAATTTCAACATGTTCATCTGTTCTTCAAGCACGGTCTAGTAAGATGACGTAGGCGGATCTTAGCGGCTTCAGACGGGAATCAGCGTGGAAAGGAGGCTGACCGCTATCGAGCGGGTTTACGCGACCCTGGCATACTCCTATTATATTCTCTCAACCTCACGGACCTTCCCAAACATCACCTCCGCCATTTCCAGCTTGTAGGATGCAACAAATTGGGCGAATTCCCCCGTCCATGGCCCAAGTTCAAAAACCTGCCTCCAAGTTTGTCATTTCTCTGATTGTGGGTTGAACTTCCGAATCAAGAAAGCCACATTTGAAGATACAAGAAGAAAATTGTTTGAGAGTATTCCTCTAGTTGGGAAGTTAGGAGTGAGCCTGATCATCTGGTTCCCCAGCTTGCTTGCCATCTTCCTCTGCTCCTGTCCGTTCCCTGTCCCACGTCTGCCTCATTTCTTCCATCTCATCATGAATATTTTGCAAGGGACGAACGTATTCTGGGAGCTGTATTAACCACCTGAAATGCTCTTGTGACTCTTTGTTGTTCTCGGTATAAGGCGAAAAGAAGAACCAGACAATCCAACCTTGTAGTAGTGTTAAAAATTTGTTTCAATGGGGATGGATATTTTACTTACCTCCTGTAAACTTCAACAGGTCTATCAAGTTATAGAAGGCAACTCGAATTACGAAGCTCAATAAACATACTGGCAGCATAGCTATTGCGGTTGGGACGTGGTAGAACGCTTTCCAGCTAAGAGATCCACCTTTGAGGATATCGTATCCCAATATGACGCGTCTTGCGGGCAGTTCTATCACAATGTACGTAAACCAAAACCAGAAATGGGCATTATATCCTTCTTCCGGGTTCGTATGCAATGTGAGGTTGTTCTCCGACCCAACATCAGTCTCCTTTGTGCTCAGTGTGTCCGTGTCAAAGTTTGAACGAGACATGAAGTTAGGAAACTGCACAAGAGAGCTCTGCTGCATTGTCGAGTTGGTAAAAGATGTGTAATAACTTTTGAAGACCTTCCTCAGAATCTTACCAACTGGTGCGGCGTTGTATAAAGCGATGAATGTGAGAGCAAGTGATACAATGGCGTAAATCATCATGCCAACCATCAAATTGCCACTTGGTGCACCATTCATACTCATAACGCTGGCAGAAAAACTCAGAGGTAAGAAAATGACGGTCACGTAAGTGAAAAAGCGAATGTTTTCTGCACCGCGTAGACTCAAGTCACCTCTGACATGTTCCTGGCTTTGAATGATCACAACTTTCAAGGCCCTTATTTTATCTAGTAGGTGCTGGAGATCGTTTATTTGTCCATTTGCGACCCCAGTCCAAAATTTGACCTCGTCTCCGTATTTGCGTTCATGCTTTTCGGTCCATCGAGGTTGCTCATCTCTGTCGCTGACTCGAGTTTCCCACTTCTTAATGATTTTCATCGATTCTGTGAGGTCCAACTCGATTGCTTCCAGCATATGCTGAAGCCGAAGCCAATCTCTTGAGAAATAGTCTTCACTGTCGGTGATGGATATGGTGAAAACATCATTGCGAAACCCGAATTCGCTTGCAATTTCGTTATATATTTCTGTCGAACCTTCCAGCAGTTTTTCCATGATTATTAGGAATAGCCATTGCTCCAGGATCTTTCTTTGCCTCCAAAGACGTCCAGTATTCTTCAGATCGAAACGATGAAGCGGCAATCTTAAGGACCCGGTTTCTATTTGGGGGTACTCAACTGAGTAGCAGGTCCAATATTTGTCAAACCAGTCGCCTCTGAAATGGAAACCCATTGAACACTTGACGATTTTTTTCTTCTTCCGACCAGGAAGTGTCTCTTCCCTCCGCTCTGGGATCCCCGCATCCTTTGATTCACCAGGTCTGAGCAGCCTATGAAAGCTAAGATGAAACTCAGTCGCCCACATATTTGGCAGCTTATCAACTAGCTCGAGGAAAGACTTCTCGTATTGGCTATGGCGTTCAAAATATCGGTTCATTACGTCTCGATCAAACTTTGCGCTCATATAACATGCCAATGCGGTTCCCCTGTCTGCCCTATACAGCCAGATAAAACGTTTCTTCGCTTGCAGAGCATCACGCGCCCCGCCAATATGCTTCCATAATGCCGAATTCGTTGCCTGTAACTCGAAGCAGCAACTATCACTGGGACGTCGCATGACGGGGATCGCATTCTTTCCTGTTGCTCTTCTTTTGGCAGCATCAATCACCCTAGCCGTCTCGGAGATATCGTCGAAAGCGTCCCAGCCTGCAACTGGAGAGTTCATTTCCTTCTCTGCTAATCGAGGATCTTGCGTCACTTTTGAGAGATATTCATCTATCCCTCTGGTGATAGTGCGACAGCTGGAATCAAATGGGTAATTTCGTATATTCTTAAGAGTATCTCGAAAAGCCTCTTGGCTCATGACTTTTTCCGAAGAGAAAACCCGAGGATAGTTGTATAGCCATTCTTCCTCATGAATATCGATGATATTCTTAGGGTCATTTAGAGGACTCAAAAGTGAATATTTTTCAAGCCAGCAGGCTGCCTCTGAGTTGGGTATAGAATCAGATCTCTCTAACTTGGGTTGAATGGGAGACTCCATGTTGAGACGCATATTATTTGGCGAGTCGATAATCGGCAGCTCGTAATTGGTATTTTGAGGTTCCTGGTAGGCATTGGAAGTTTGGAGAGCATTCATAAACAAGATGAATGGAACTTGGAAACTCGTATTGAAGGACAAGACTTCATCTCTGTGCGTCTGAGGCTGCAGCGGCTCTTTGGTTTCAAAATCCATTTTCCCCGGAAAAAAGCCATTTTGGCCTGAAACACTTACCAACATGGAGAAGGCAGACTTGGTCAGCTCTCTCGGATGCTGGCAACTGATGATGGAGTATCCGCGAGCCCCCATCATAAGAGCCAGGCCATATCGAAGCACATTATCCCATTCCATAATTTGATTATCCATGCAAATATTCTGTAAATTGATAAAGCTGTTCCAGGACTTTGTCTCCCTGTGAAAGAAACCCCAGTCTTCGCCATATAAGAGCACAGTATCTTCCGCATGGAATGTGAAGCGGACCCGGCGCGCTGAACGTGTAGCTGCCAAAGTACGCTGTTTTATCAGAGGATTCTTAGTGGTGAAACGCTTGACAATGTTTCGTTGCAAGCCATGAGGCGAAAATGAGGGTGGTAACTCTGAGAGCCCCCTTTTCTGGCTTGCAGGGTCGGAAGGTGGAGAGATTATCATTTTTTCAACAACCCTAAGGGCCTTCCAAATCCATATCTGGTCACTTAATCGGAACTCTGGTGTCGCTTTGGGTCGCTTCGGGAAACAGTGCGGCCATACAGATACGCTTCTCTTGTCTGAAAGTCTTAGACCCTCAACCCAGCGTTCCGAAACCCTGTCAACAACAGTGCGAGCCAATTCTTGGTAATCTGGCTCGGTATAGACTTTGACGAACTCCCCAGCTTTGATGATGTGAAATGAGGTATCAAATGGTCGAATATGAGGCCCGAAAAGGAAAGTTCTGTACTCTTTCCTTATTCCACCTACCGGCCAATAGTCGAGGGAAAAAAGTCCTGCGTCTAGCTCTGCAAGTCTGAGCCACTCCATATGCCCTATGCAGACTATTGAGATTCTGGTCAGCATAGTAGCCACGTACTCATCTCTTGGGCAAATACGTTTCAATCTGCGGAAAGCTTCAAGTAGAAACATAAATGCGAAACTATAGGCTCGTTAGCTCTAATCTCGTATTGTTCTTGGCATGCTAAATCTCACAAACTTGACGAGGCATAAATGACGTGCTCCGACATGTCACCGCATGTCAAAGCAATGGAAATGACGCGTCGTCGAGGTTTGGACCCTGGAGTCCCTATCTCGACCGGGTTTGGGGGTGGATGATGTACTGGAATGGCACAGACCGAGATAATGTGCTCAAGGTGTCGTCTTGTTAAAAATTCAATATGTTTATCGGGCGATGCTGTCTCTCCGAAGGCTTCGAGTATATTCTCGTTCAGGCTGTCAACCCCATCGATAGCAGGGTCCGGACTGGGGAAGCTTTGAAGATCATCCTTTCTTGCTAGGTCGATTCCAGATATACAGATTGGTGAAAAAGGCTCTTCCCTCAGAAACTCGCCGACCCTAACAGCAGCAGCAGGTATCGAAATTGCCCCTAAGTCGGTATAAGAACTTTCTGAATGACGCAAATGGTAAGCAACAACAACTTCCATAGTAGTTGAAGAAGAGCATATGTCGTTGTTTGTCCTTGCTTCCAGCCTGTGAGTCCAGGCTGATGTCGCTGCTTTCCATCTCATTGGCTCGCCATTGAGGAACACGGATACCACTACCGCCGCCGACTCTCCGATATGCGGCCAACCCGAAGCCTCAGTTGGGCGGTTATATCCGCCGCTGGGCTGCCTACTTTTCAGGATAGCTTCTCGGGACTTATTCAACGTTGTCGATCTGCACCATCCAAGCTCATCAGGGCAAGCCTGGCCGAAACATGTGTTAGCCCCCCGCCCGGTCGCAGTGTAGTTTAGGCCCCGGACAACCATGGAAGAGTCGGGATTGCAGAATTTGAACTCTACATCCAAGGGGCTGGTTTCCAAATTCTTGACAATGCATTGTTGCAGCAGGTGATTATGGTGAATCATCCAATGTATATCGAGTTCGCACTTGTCGGTGTGGTATTGGTATCTTGGCCATCTGTACCGCAACAGGCTTAGGCGAGGGAGTTCTTTCCCAATCTCCAAGCCAGGGAATTTGAGACCGAATGCAGTTTCCCCTATGGGAAGGGCATTTCCAGACATCCATTCCAGTTGGTTGGCCCTTTCGGCCCTGCTATGGGCAAAGTCAGGGGTCGATTCGCATTTTTGTTCTACAGAAATGAACCCATAAGTTTCAACCTCCAAGAAGTTTCTGAAAAGCATCATCTGCCCGTAAGCATTGATGCTTGCTGTGGCGCCCCATTCCCCAATCGAGAAATGGCTTTTGGGATTTGGCGCTGACTCCCATGCCACATAGTGGGATTCGCAAACGGATTCACCCGGTGTTGACTGTTCAGTGCTCTGATGTAGCTCTGTGTTGCTGCTAGGTGGGGGACTTTTAGGCGCTTGGCCTTGAGACACCTCATGCATTGTCGTATGAATTGGGTGAAGAGGAGAAATGTTGAATAATTGGGTGATAAGGCGGCTTGTAGATGGCAGGTAAGATGATGGCAGAAGCACAAAGTATCCTCACGACAAGGGCTTGCCTCGATCTTAGGCCACGTCCATGGTGGAGCAGAAGGGCATGTTGATGTATATTCCAGTATTATTGTTCCCTTGGATTATTGTGGCTCATTATGCGAGATATTATCTTCGAATGTCGTGTTACCTCCTGTTTGGAAGTGTTCCGTCATGCTTCTAGCCGCTTTTGAGTCGCACATTGAGAAGCGGTCAAGCCAGTGCAGTTGCATTTGATTAGAATGTTGTATCGTTCCCATACCACGATCACCGCATATGCAGATCCCTAGTAGCTTTCAGAAGAATTGAAGCAGTGGTCTTGGGGTAACGTAACATGCTGGTGATACCTGCAAGGTAGTCTAGTTAATTGATACAAGCCTCGCATGAGTAGGAACGTATCACAACCGACTGTAGGTAGTGAGTTTGAAGCTAGTAGAGGACACCTTGATATATTCTTCGCCAAGGTAAATGAGAACATTAAAAATCAATAAGGGAGTTGGATAAGGTAGCAGCAAAGTGTCCCGCCAGCAATACGCATAATTAGAAATAGAACTGGGCACCACAGACAGTCGTGATCGTCGAGCAGCATACAATAAGTAAAGCAACCTTGAGAACTTTAAGAAACCTGCCAAAAATTCAACAAATCCCCTCAAAATTAGTCGTCACGGAGCCGCCCATCATTTGTTTTCAAACTTTCCTTGGCTGATGTTCCTCCGGGCAGGTGCCAAGTTTATAAGAGGTGTAGGGTAACCTTGGATGTTTCGGGGAATTCTCGGAAGAAATTGATATGTAATCAGCGAGCTCTGAGAGCTCATCCCACCATTTCGTTCGCGATACTTGACTGCCAGCAACTAAGCCTGGTCAGCAAAAAATCGGCCCATACACTTTTGTCGCCACACCTGCGAGCGTTCGCCATGTCGCACGTCCTCGCAGCAGCCAGACCCATGTCGGGGATTCTCGCCCGCCTGCCACTCCGGCAATGCAGTCGCTGCTTCACCAACAATGCGGTGCAATCGAAAGCTCTCTTACGACCGGCCGCCTCGGTGCAGCCGCGACAGCCCACCGTCCAGCGTCGGTCGAAATATACGTCAGTCGAACAGGCCAAGAGCCGGTATAGTCGCGGGGTATGAATCCGATCCTCGCACGAAATTGGGCCTCTCAATGCAACGTTATGTCTGACATGGTTCGATCTAGCCCTTTTCATGGAAGTCCGGCCTCCTCTTCGTGGGAACCTGTGGTCTGTTGGTGTGGTACTTTGAGTTCGAGAAGGACCGCATGAAGCGCAAGCGCATCGCGGAGGCGTCAAAGGGCATGGGCAGACCCAAAGTTGGAGGAACATTCGAATTGGTCGATCAGAATGGCAAGCCCTTCACCAGCGACATGATGAAGGGTAAATTCTCACTGGTGCGTATGGACACAACCGCAGCAGGCTTCCCTCATCTTCATGCTCACATTTGTATTTCCCGGGCTCTAGGTCTACTTCGGATTCACACGCTGCCCCGATATCTGCCCCGAGGAGCTGGACAAGATGGCCCGCATGCTGGACCTCGTCAAGGAGAAACTCCCCGCCGACACACTTCTGCCCCTCTTCATCACCTGCGACCCTGCGCGTGACGACCCCGCCGCTCTGAAGGAATATCTCTCCGAGTTCCACGATGACCTGATCGGCCTTACAGGAACCTACGACCAGATCAAGGACCTCTGCAAGAAGTACCGCGTGTACTTCAGTACGCCGAAGGACGTGAAACCCGGGCAGGACTATCTGGTGGACCACAGCATCTATTTCTACCTGATGGACCCTGAGGGGGATTTTGTGGAAGCATTGGGCAGGCAGCATTCGCCCGACGAGGGGGCTAGGCTCATTGCTGACCACATGAAGGACTGGAAGGCGAAGAACTGATTAATGCCCCCGGGGGGACAGGATGGCCTGTGTAAAGGTCGTTGTAAAAAAGATGATGTAACGCCAGGTTTGTATATCATATGTAATGTGCCTTGTACTAGTAGAAATCCCCGGGCGGATGTGACACATATCTTAGGCCGCCATTATGGCAATACTCAATTCAATGACTTGTTGAACAATAGTTATGAATGATGTCGACACAAAAGCGCTGTCGTGTTGTGTTGGTTTGGAGGACAGTGCTATATTGGAGATGTTGCTCATTGGCTGTTTGGGCGACAGGGTGCGTTTGTGTGTGTGGGCCGAATTTTTCCTCTGCATTGTTGACGAGCAACCTCCAATCACCGTCATCAACACCATACCGGAGTGGAACGGAAGTCATTTTCTTTCTAATATCAATTCATAAAAGGAGATGAGAGTACTGGTTGACGGCTAGATTCCGAAGCAAGGCGAATCTGGCGGGGTTGAGTGACAATGGTACGGGTGATGCGTAGCAACATGAGGCACGCGACGCTGCGCTCTGTGGCATCCCAGGTGCCTCGTCCTAGGCTCATCACCAGACCATTGAGTAATGGCTGCCATGGGAGCTGCGCGCGGGGCTTCAACACTCAAGCGCCCGGGAACGGGGACATCGACAATATCATTCGGCAAATACGACAGGGCAATGTTAAGCTGGGCGATAGGCTGTCTTCGAGCGAGCTTCTTGATGTCAAGGACGCAACCCCAGTTTACGAACGTCCGCCGAGGCTCGTCAAGGCATTCAGTGGTGATGCCCGAGCGCTGAGCAAAAATTACGCCTTCTTGTTTGGGTATGCGGAAACCTCCCCGGCCTACTTTGTGCTTCTGCTTAGCAACTCTGCATTGGGAACATGCTCATTGGCCAGTGCTAACGATGGCCTAGAGCCTCAGGAGTTTTGTTCAATGGCATCGACAGGATCGATGGCTCACTGTCTGCTCTCAGGGCTGTCAAGTCGCATAACGTACGATACAGGTGCCTCGCTGATCCTGGAGGGATGGCCACTGAGGCAGAAACCGAACACCAATTCAAGGAGCGCATTAGAGCGAACAAGGACGATCGGCTATTCCAGGGGAACGTCATCCACCCACAGACGCCCCTGCGTCTGCTGCCCGACGAGGTCAAGCAGAATCAAGTTGTGTACATTGCTGGACGGAAACCAAACAAGGCCCGGAACGTTGCTGAATCGTACGTGTCCTCTATTTCTTCCCTCTTTTTAATGGCATGCTGATGAGCGCTACAGGTACGGGTTCAGAAAAATCGTAACCGGTGCAGACTTGCTGGACCAAAACTTGGAATTGTTCCCGTTTGATCCATTGAAGGTCAGGGGGAAGAAGGGTCGCACGAAGACCAAAGCACTACCTGACGGACTCTCATCCTTCAAGCCTGGCAAGAACAAAAGACTCGAACCGAACCTTCTCAGGAACCTGAAGATCGACCACATTTTCATCTGGAACGAGCCAAGGGACTGGTACCTCGAGATACAGCTCATTCTTGACATGCTGATATCCCAACAGGGCTACATCGGTACCGTGTCCGCGAAGAACGGTGATGCCGCGCTGCCAAATAACGGCTGGCTGCAGGATGGCCAGCCCAAAATATGGGCCAGCGTCGAGGATTTCGAGTTCGGGTCGGCATCATACCACCTCCAGCGCTTAGGCACTGGCGCGTTCCTAGAAGCCCTGAAGGGTGTCTGGCGAGCCAAGACGGGGTGCGAGGACCTTGAATACGAACACGTCGGCAAGTTATCCGGGATGACCCTCGAGTACGCCCACGATCAGATCCTCCGCGCATACGCGCGCTGGATGATTGAGAAGGGTTTGGAGCCGGTGGCCGACAAGTCCGAGGTCCGGCGGGTGTACGTGATCAGCGACAACCCGGAGAAGGACCTCGAGGCCGTGCTGGATTTCAAGCCGGAGGACGGGGCGGAGTACATCCCCATCCTGGTGCGGTCGGGGGCTTGGACCGGCACGACGAAGGAGCTGGAGCGCAAGCCGGCCGCGGTTGTGGACGACGCGCTGGATGCTGTCGTCTGGGCCATGCGGAACGAAGGAGTCGACGCCCACCGTGAGATCCTCGACGTGCCCAGACACCTCATGGGTCTGGTGGGCGTGGGTGAGGTGGTCAGGGAGGAGGTGATGGCGGAGAGATTACGCTTAAAGAGGGAGTAATATGCGGTGTGTTCCATGTTGTGGGCTCATCATCCAGCGGTATGCGCTATGTACACTATCTATGCAATATCTAGACGATTAGAGCGTGTAAAATATGTAGATACTCAGGGCATGTAATGTCTTTCGCCCCCCCAACAGGCTACAAAGGGGGACAATTTTGTTTAACAATCAATTTAATAAATGCCAGCATAAGTAGCCGGGTGAGATGAACTGTCGTTGAAGTGAGTTGGTCACTGTCGCGAGCACTGTACTAGATGTTGATGTGGTTGGAGTCATGTTAGAAACAGAGCTATAATAACGTGCCGGCTATGGATGAGGCTGGACTGCCTGTTTGGGACGGCCAACGACGGGATTTGCATGCCAAGAATCCACTGCAGACGACTGCAAGGGCGAGAAGTCGATTGTTTGGTAATGGGAACTATGACATGCTGCCAGGCCACAACGTTAAAATCGCAGCCTATGGGAGGGCCATGTTGGCGCACGTGGGCGTAGGGATGCTGGGAAAATCCGATATATCACCAAGAGCGAAAAGTCTGATCATGCCGGTGACCCCGATATTGGAGCATCGACTGGGGGCTGTTGGTATGTTGTCATGTTGCGAGATCAGGTTGTATTGACAGTATAGCGTGAGTTTGGTGGTCGTTGGAGTAGATTTTAGTAGGTGCTAACATTGAAGGCAGCAATAATCAATTACTCCAGCGCTTGGAGTGGGCCTCCACCCCCGAAAATTAATTCTAGAAAAGGGAACCCAAAAAAGAAAAAAAAAACCAAGAAACTGGCAACGGTCGGTGAGGGGTCTATCCAGAGAGAGTCATCGATTGCATCACTTCACCCACCAAACGATAACCGTCGATAGGTTGGCCCGTTATCTGGCTCGGATCATTGCCGTACGTATTGGGACTAATCAAGGCACAACTCAAGGGTGGTACAGTCCAGCTAATCTACCTTGGCTTTAGTAGGGGGCTTTCACCAGCTGCTAGTCCAACCGGTTCCATCTTCTTCTCCCCTTCCATCTCAACCCCAACTTTCTCGGTGAGGCTTCAACTTCAGCATTCAGCCTCTCGCACACGCACGCCCCCACATCGTCCTCCATGTCAGAGATATCCCCCGTCGCTGCATGAGCATTATCGGCTCAGTGGAGTCTCGACAGTTGGCAGTTGCCCGAGTTGCCGCAGGACATCGCTTCCTGCCTTGCCTCGCTTCCGTCTGGCAGCCGCGTGACAAGACCTTTGTCTCGCTCAAGCACGGGCATCGTCCACGGCCTTGCCGCCCACCGCGACTTGCGACAAGACCACTTTTTGCTTTCTGGACCCTGTCGCCTGGTCTTGACCTGGCCAATTCCCACCACGGGCCGCTCTGCTCTGCCTCGCGCCGCCTCGCCCGTCCTGCTCTGCATCACTTCCCGTCTCCTCTTCGCTGTGCTACCGTGTGTAGCACGAAACCAGTGGAGACCAGGGGGTCCTGCTCCTTTGAGAAACGGGCCACGCGACCAGGATCCCTTCTCGTACAAGCACCCGCTTGGATATTTAATCCCTCCGGCTTGAGTGGACTGGTCCTGGCCGGACTCGACTGGCCTGGCCACCATTTGTTGGGGCTATCACTTATATTTACCCGTTATCTCTGGCTAACCCTTTTTTCTCCCTTCTTCTTCTCTTCTTTCTGTTCCTCTTCTCCTCTCTTCTAATTGCTTGGCTCGCCGTCTCCAAGAACCAGCTGCTCAGTGAATGGTCACTCTTGTCGTTTCGCCATGCCACTCAAGTCCGCCCTCAAGTCTGAGGACAGTGTGGAGAGGACTCCCCCAGCCAGTGGCTCTCTCAAAGGTACGTACCTTGTGTTTCCATTCGGTCAACTCATCGCCTAGCTTTGATATGTTTTATCCCGTCACATATGCTTGCTTGTCTCTGCTCATGACACCTTTTGTTGCATGTTTGGGAAAGCCTAGAAAGTATTGCCAAGTTTCCGTTTGAGTCTGCAAGGCTGCAAGTGCTGGCCCGAGAAAGCAGCAACCTACCGATGATACTACCCCAACCCCAACCCCTAGTTACATCCTGTATCCCGGCCTGCACACTTGACCTTTCAGGGCCATGCATTTGGAAGAAAGGGGAAAAAAGGGGGGAGTCATTCCTTATTTAGCTTAGATCTTTGGCAATCAAGTAGACCTGTGCTCCATATGCCTTATCCTGGCCCAAGCAGCCAGCGATGCAGGGCTGGCCAACACATTAGCAGATCGATCATATGCTTACAACCATGCTCAGCTGTGCAGATTGCGGAGCCGATCCCGGAGAGCATAGTCGAGGAAAATGTCTTGACAAGTACCAGACAATTCCGCGCAAGCTCTGGCCGGAAACTCAGCGGGAAGCTGTCCCAAACTCAGCTGGGCGGCTCATCCAGGTCATCCGTCGCAGACAGCTCTCCGTCTCTTCAGCCTATTGATCACGATGGCTCGCACTTCTCCCACCCACGACACCGCAACCAGTACTACAGCGAGAAGCTGATGGCACAGGTCGGCGAGTGGCTGGAGAATGAGCGAAAGAAGATTGCAGGCAGGGCCAAGAAGCCTCGCCGCCAGAAGTCTGTTTCGCCCCCCGTCGAGAAGCAGGATCCCCTGGCAGAGCTATCTCAGAATGGCCGGTCGAGATCTGACTCAATTGATTCCCAGTCTAGCGATGTATCTCTCGACAAGCTGCAAAAGATCCTCGAGGACTCCATGGCCAGCATGGGCATGAACTCTCTCCCTAGCTTTTCGCCCAAGGTTGCTCGACCGCGAAGCCATCGACCCAACCGCGCATCGCTGCACCGCTCAGCCTCCTCGGACA